TGATGTTTGGCTTTTATTTGATATCTCAACGTTCCTTCGTACATTTTCATTCCTTAACATTCCGGTATTAGGACTGGATGAATGACATTTACCGATGGTTTAATATATTAATCTCGTTAGGAAAGTCTATAGGGACATTTATCAATCAGCTTTTGTATGGCGTCTTATAATATGACTCGACATTTGCATGTGTTTCACTAGTAGAGCATGAATTCCTTCTTTATTTGTCATGTTGTCAATATTTTTTTCTGACATATCCGATTTCGATCGCTTCTTCTTATCTTCTAACTTTATGTACACTTTTTGCTTTACATGCCTGCGACTTGATTCAAATAAACTAATTCTCTCATTTTCTGCTTGTCTTTACATAATGTGGCATTCGATTGAATAGCCTCCACCATGTTCTGTGTAATCAAGCAACAACCGCTACGACCATTTGGTGGCAGTATAAACATTTAATATTGATTCCTGTGCATACGACATGTATATTTGATACAACTATTATCAGGTACGATAGAAATCAAAGGTTTCACTAGCCAAGTGTATATAATGCATCTGAAATCCTCAAAACTATGAAGGATCTAAATTGAACAGCCAACCTTATCTTAAAGTGTAGCAACTCTACTTCAGTGACATAATTGCTTAACTGCGGTAATCAGGATGTATCATAAAAAGTAAAATAACAAAAATACCGAACTCCTAGAAAAATTCAAAACGGAAAGTCCCTTATCAAATGGCAAAATCAAAAGCTCAAACACATCAAACGAATGGAAAACAACTGTCATATTCCTGACTTGGTACAGGCATTTCCTTATGTAGAAAATGGTGGATTAAACCTGGTTTTATAGCTAGCTAAACCTCTCACTTGTATGACAATCGCATAATATTCCATTATATTGACATTTAAATATTGCAAGTAGCATTGCAACCGCTAAAATAGAGGCGGAAGATATCAAAGAGAGAATCAATAATTATGAGTGGGAGAGAGACTGGCAAAATAGTGTAAAAACAACCCCACGAAAAGCCACTAAAAGACAAGGAACAGTCTACAAACTACTACATAAAGTTACTAGCTACTTGGTGACTGGTACTATGAAGGACTGACACTCCATCATTAGCTGTACAAAAATACTATTTATTATGTTCTACTTTTTAATAAGAAAGAGTCAGTCAAACTGGTGCTATATTTAATGATATATTTATAGTTTTATCGGTGTGATTACACCAGATTAAGAGTTTACTAAGTTTTTATTTTCTTTCGTTATTTCTACATTAATTTTGTGTTTTTTCCATAATTTCTGTGCTGGATCACATCCATAGATACAGGTAAACAATCTGAAATTAGAAATCAATTAAAAAGATATTTTATCGATCTAAAATCTAAAATTATACTCGACATATAGCATAAATCGTCATGGTATGGCTCTCTCCAACAAATTTTAAAAACTCTTCCTGGGTTTGCAAACCTAAATGATGGGAAAAATATTTCAAAAAATACCATCAGGAAAATATTGAAAGAGACATGCATAAACATTTGGAAGGATCAACTGACCAAGAATTTAGAAGGGAAGCTCCGCACTTATGTAAAATTTAAGAATAATTATGGTTTCGAAAAATATCTAAATATCATGTCCAATTTTGAACTTAGAAGATCATTAACAAAATTTAGGGTGTCATCTCACCATTTGCAGATTGAAATAGGACGATACCAGGGTACTCCTCCACACCTTAGACTATGTCAGCAGTGTAACTCTGGTAATATTGAAGATGAAGTTCATTTTCTCTTTTATTGCACAAAATATAACGAAGACAGACACCATTTATATCACATTATTTTGGAATCATGTCCCAATTTCATTAACTTAACTTCCCAAGAGAAATTGCTATGGCTGCTGTCTTGTGAGAACTTAACTGTATTAAAAGAGTTGTGTATATTCCTGGTTAAAGACAGCAAATATCAGATTTATATGACATGTTTCGCATAATTAGCAATTGTTGTTATTCAAAAAAAAATAATAATTATTATTTGTTAATTAACCGGATTCAGTTTCTCTATTTATTTTGTTCATCTGCTTCTGACACGGGGAGGATTGCTGTTATTGCCTGTCGCAATCAACAATATATCCTAGAGCACCGTCCCTTGGTGTCTCCTGTAGATGAACAAATTTCCATCTTTATAGATAATAATTTCAGTTTGTTCAAACTTTATTATTAATATTTTTTTTTTTTTTTTTATTTTTATTTTTCCACTGCTGGACATAGAAATAATAATGGTAAAAAGGAAGGAAGGAAAAAAATGCTCAAAAGTACTTTTAATGTATTTTTGTTATTAATGCTATTTTCATTTGTCTATAATTATAATATCTGTCACTTTATATACTGTACAATGTCTCATGTTTGTTGCTTATACTATCATAATTGTTAATTGTAAATGCCCCCTGTGGGACCCTGATTGGAATAATAAAAAAAAAGTATTTGATTTGATTTATAGTTCAGAAAATATAAAAGATAAAAGCATGCGTCTTTAAATTAAGACTATCATGTATCATTATCGATGTCACACGAGCAGGGTATTTTTTTTTTACTTGAGCACCTGAACTCAGTCTTGCAGATAAAAGAGTAAGTGTAATGAACTCTAAATAAGCCAAATTTAGAATTGGATAAAGAACTTGCAAATTTTGTATAATTTTCTCTATTTAGTAAGTAAGTTACTATGTGTATCGATATTTTTATAGAACTTTGACATTTTCCTCTCATGTGCAGTTTTTTTTTTTCTTTCCTTTTTTTTTCTTTTTGCATTGTTGTTTGTGAAAGTGATGGTTGTCGTATGCAAATAACAGAATTATCTTGAATACCAATACCATACTTCCTTCCGTATCTTTTACCTATGCAATGTGTAATTCCGTTCTAAAATGCAGTCTAAAAAAATCTACTGATCTTTTGTTTAATTCAGCACAATCGGCTTGTATTAATGTTTAACTGATTTCAAATCTACAAACGTTTTCTTTTCAATTTTTACTTCCGTACAAGATCGCCTAAATAAGACATTTCTTCAAGTCAAAATACAGAGCTAACAACTATAATAGTCCTGTGCAATTAAAACATTACATAAATATGTATGAAGCATTCATTGCAAAAAATGCTAAATGGAAAAAAAGGTGATAACTTGTAATGACTTACAGTGCCATCAATGAAGATAGTAACACTAGTCCACCCATTACCAGAAACACCATGCCTTTAAAAATGGGTCGTGTTTGTTTATATACGTCAGAAAATGCAGCTACACCAATTACTCTTACTGCTGAATCTAATACTGCCATATTTGAAAATAGAACACCTGTTAGATAGTATAAATAAAAGTATTTACTTGTGAATGTTTTTTTTTTATTCTGTCCACTTGCATAAAATCTTGTCATTTTAAATTTAAAAATTTATCCTTCTGTTTAGAAATTAAATCAAAGTACTGAAATACTGAACATCGGATGACCGCAAGTTCTTGTGGATTATCAAAAGCACTTGTCACAGAAAAAAATCACATCTCTATACCTGAAACTGAGGTTAATGTACAGAGATTTTTTTTCTGAGGCAAGATCGTGCGTGGATGATGAATAAATGACATAAAATTCAACCTTACCGTAATAACTATTATATTGTAGTGATACAAATCAGTATACATTGGTTTGTTGTTACGTTTTATATTAATATAACAGTTACATGTATATATAATTTTCATCCATTTGTATATCATTCTAGTCTACTAATCTAATAGGAGTGCAGTGCATGTGCATGGTGGACACTCTTCTGTAAAAATTCGATTTTTCTAAAAGATTGAATATGAGTAGTCATTCATATTTTCCCGCAAAAACAATCTTCAATGCAGAGTTACCGGTCCTTGTCGGGATTGTCGCAAAAAGTATTTGAGATATTCTTCCGCATGCTTTACCATATCAATGATTTTTACTTATATATATATATCTAACGACAAAACATTTTCATATTATTAACTTATGTTCTAAACAAAAATATTGGTGTCAGTATTCATTGAAGAGATGTATTTATAACAAACGATAAGGAATTTTATTTTGCACTCGTTAATATCCGTGTATTTATCATGTTTATAGATCGGTTACAAAGCCAAACCGAAAGTTACGTAAATGGAAATCTAGGCGATAGCAATACATCGGAATGCCCTCATGGTCATCGCGATGTAAAAAAAAAGTCAAATGTGTCTCTCTTAAACCTTTCCGATCGTTTAACTCAGATAGATGAACAATTATTTCCTAAACATTTAGTAGAAACAAATTAATTTAAGTGTTGTAAGATGGAAATTAGAAAATTTCTGCATTTCAGCAGTCTTGTTGTTTCATTGGACGAAAGCAACCCAAATTGAATGTTAGGCCGTATTATGCAATTAAATGATGGTATATGGTCCATATACCATTTGGTAAAACATTCACAATGTCTTAATATTTTGACGTCACATTTAAGTTCGACTGCTGGGTCGCTTAATACAATTTTCTAATGGGTCCCATATATTCCCAAATATTATTTGTAGTCACAACATAACTAATTTAACTGCTGGTAACCGAGAATGAATTTGAAATTATTTCATTACCCGTTCTCTCATATTGTTTATTTGATTATTTACTAAATAGTGTAGTAAAGGTTCAGTATGATCATCTGTTTACCTTGTTTATCAGAATTGACTTTTCTGGATAGTATTGCGTTTATTATGGTTTCTCCACTGTCTCTTATTACTCCAATTCCAATAACTAAAAATAAACAAAATATGTGTATGAGAACAATATACATTGTGTAAGTTCTAATGGACGATGAAATATATAGTAATTTATTTTTAAGATTTTGCATGGACGTTGACTTAATTCAAGATTAATAAAATAAACAGACCAAAATACAAAGGTCTGTGCTGCACTACATTTTCGAAAACGCAAACATGACGATGCTTGTTCATACTTTCAATGATACGTACTATCAGAACTAAATTTTAAACATCCAAACGTCTTGAGTTCTGTGTATTTAGTCTACAAGACCACGTTTTAAGAGTTTTTTTTTCAAAACTGGCCTAGTGAAGGAGTACAGATATAGCTTAAGACCACGCAATGGTATTCATTTAACCTATATTTACCTGTATATAGCATCCAGCTATTCATTGCAAGACCATATGCCATATAACAGACTATAGATGATATATTACTGACTTGTAGTATTATTTCATCAGGTGTACACCGATGTAATATAGCTATGATCAATGGTGCAAAGATGCACTCAGCAATTGATAAACCTGCTCCATACCATCCTATACGTTCTGAACTCCAACAAAACGGCCAACCTAACTTATAAAGATTGCTAATTGGTGCGTATGCAGTTCCTGATAGTTTTAGTAGGATAAAAACAAACAGCCACGAGAAAATATGTTTCCTGTTTCCTATGTTTGCGTCTGTTATCATCGACCAGATTTGAGATTTCAGTGAAACAGAACAAACCTTTACGTTATGTTTGGCTGGTTTAGGCCTTTGTTCCTTGAGAAATACAATTATAGATGTATTAAGAATCAAAAGAATACCAGCACAAATAAAATACTGTGGTATGTATCCAAAATAATGAATGGAATAACCCGTTATAATCTGTGCTATAAAGAAACCAATGCCATTTGCGCATGTATAAAGAATCATCACGAATGATCTTTGTTTATCCTTTGAAGTAGTGTCAGCCATTATGCCTGACGAAGCAAGGTCGTATGTATAGTGTGTCCCCGAGAGACCATTGAATACAGACGATATTAAGACCAGATACACATTCATGCTGTTGTAAACTACATATGTTCTGATACTCATGCCTATCAGCAGCATTGATACATTCCATACAAGTAAGAATTTTCTACCAATTCTATCAGTCATTGGTCCTAATACGATCATTATCATGACGGAAATTCCCGAACTTATCATTTCGGAATACTGGTTTATCGTTGTAGCCTTACTTTGGGCTTTAGATTCTAAGGAATTTGATGATTTGTTTCCCACCTGACAACTCTCAATCTCTATGCTCCTATTTTCTGTTGATACTGTACTGCCATTGGTAAATGTGTCATTTAATAAATGTTGTTTTACAAAGTGATAAATATACTGTCCATCGTTCACGGATGACATTTCAGATTGAAATCCAGAGAGCATTTTGAAAATAAAAAGTTGAACCCATATTCGTGTTAAGATTTTTCCGGTTGCATTTTGATGAATTAAGCTCTCTTTTTCGTCCATTCCTAACTGATCGAAAATTGTTTACTACATGAAGTTCATTATCCTTTCCGTTTATTTATATCAAACCATGACAATTACAAATAATTTTATCTAATAAAGTCTTATGAGAGATGGTGTTGTTTACAATTAACAATCACGTGTATATTTAGTACACAAAAGAGTATATAAATAATATTAGATTTAAGATGAAGATATCTTCGTAGGATATACAATATGAAAATCCCACATTATAAATTTGGCGTTTCCGTAGTGTTTTTCAGGATTTACCGTAATCAGGAACGGTCAAAACCAAAACATTTGAAAGCCAAGGACGTATAAGTATTCGGATACATGAGGAGCTATATGGCATAAAGGGACCGAAAGTGTCGTTTTATTCCTCTACCTAATTTCACATTCTGTTCTTATGTTGTGTTGTTACACCGCTGTCCCAAGTTAAGACATGTTTCATCCCGTCACATTCTGTATGTGTTTGTCCCAATTCAGTGGTTGTTGTTGGTAGCAGTTTATTTTTTCGTTTATTGTATTGTACATGAATCGGGCAATTTTATCGTTCGAATTGTTTTACATTTTGCCATGTCGATTCTTTTATAGCTTACTATGCGGTATGGTTTTTGTACATTGTTGAAGATGATAACCTAGCAATAGTTGATTACGTCTTTTTCGTTGTCTCTGGTGGATAGTTGTCACATTGGCAATCATACCACATGTTCTAATTTGTATACTAACAAGAATGGCCTAATCCATATAAACAAACTCATCATAAATACCAGGATTAAAAGTTTGTACGCCAGACGGACGTTTCGTCTACAAAAGACTCATTAGTGAGGCTTGAATGAAAAAAGTTAAAAAATATCAAAAATATCAAAATATAAAATACGAAATTGAAGAGCATTTAGGACTTAGAAATCCGAAAGGCTTTGCCAAATACAGCTAAGGGAAAATCAACTTTGCCTTCTGGAGATGAAACATAAGTTGCTAATTTATCAACGGAAAATTTAAGAAAAGGTTGTTATAAATTATGTCAATACTGAGGCACTAATTACTGAGCTGATGGTACCCTCGGAGAATAACAACTTATATGTTAATATCAAATGGTACAAATGTATCATAGCCGTTGATGACACAACAAAATTATCAATAAACTCGTTTGTTTTTGCGTTTGGGCTTAATGTCTTTTAATACGGAATATTTGATATTTCAGTGGATTATATCAACTTGCTTTTCATCAAACTGGAAGCTTTTCTTTTTATTCATGTTGCTCTTTTAGCCATGACTTGGGTAGTGAATGATGTTTGTGCTTTTACAACTTGCAAATCAGTTGAAAAATCATTCTTGTGAATATGAATAAAATATTGTCCCAATGAGACAGTAATCCAACGACAAAAATAATCAGAAAAGATCTAGAGGACAGACTAGCTCGAATTCGTCACAAGTCTTTATTTTTTAAAGTTGAAAATAAATTAAACATTACTATCAAAGATCTGCCATTAGAATCGTTCAAAAGAATAAAAGAAAAACAATTAGGATTTGATACAAGACACCCGCTGACGAGGTTCCTGACTTGGTAAAAGAACAGGATTTGTTTTCACCTTGTTCACAGATAAGTAGTTTTTGGTGACATTTAACAAATACATAAAAAAATATGAATTAAAAATGCCAAAAGTAGTCATCTTCCTTTTTGCACATGGACTTTGTAGATGGCAATTAATTTACTTGATATCATTCCCACTTCCGGCAAAAAAATACAATTAATTAAAAGTCTAGATGATATGTTACCAATAATGTATCCGACACTAGGGTGTCAAATTAAATATTAGCACTTTACTACTATAATGACAGTTATTTTCAAATAGACATGGACACTAATGGTTTGATAGGGTATAGGAAAATGGATCCTACCTATTAAAACGGTTATTTTTTTTTCTTGTTCTAAATAAGCATGACATATTGGCCACAAGAAGTTAACCAAATAACATTATATAAGACGATTTTGATTGACGTAACAAATATTACATTTCCGAGCCTTTATATCTTCTGATAGCTCAGAACCAAGAAGAATTAAAATATAAATCTGGTTGAAAAAAATTTCCTTAGAAAATTTTTTTTTTTTTAAATCCAATAATTTGAAGTTGGTGGTCTTTCGGTTCCCTTTACCTAAATTCGGGGTTTACACCAGCCACATGAAATTTGTTTAATTATGAAATATCAATCTTTTTATTCTACTAAGAAATATTGTGGAGAAATATTTTAAATTGTCAAGTTGACTTATTTGATTTTTGAATGTTTGGTCTTTCGATGACTATCTCGGTTTGATCTTTTGATGCAACTTTCGCACACTTTATAAATCTGAAAAAGAAAACAAAACTACCATGTGATTTCTACTACACTAGGTAATGATTAGTCTGAATTACTCAAGCTTTTAAAATATCTGCATATGAAACATAATATCAAAAATAAGATTTTTCAAATAAAAAATGCAGTTTTCCATGCCTTGTTACATTGTACTTTGAAACAATGCATTGTTATTTGGGCGTGGTTGAAGACATCTTCGAAAGTTATGATACCAAACGTTGATAAAACGTTCTCTCTTTGTGACAGGGTTATTCAGCATTATCTGATGCAGATTCTTAGAATCATTGTCGACAACCTCTCATCAAATGCTTTAGGACAAACACATCATATATATTGACAAAAGTATGAAGACAAGGTGACAATCAAAATCATAATTCGAGGGACCGACAACACAATGGTCAAAAGACTAAAGAAAAACAGCAGTTCATAAATCACTACATAGAAAATGAACGATTGAGAAATGCCTAATGTTGTTGATCTCCGGCGCTCTAGAAAGGATATTAATTATTGGTGGCACTCATGGTAGTTGCGTTGTACTCGATTGTTGTTTCTGTGATTAACGTTTCAAGTATTTTTAATGATAAAAGTTTATAAAATCCAAATGAAATATAACACTTGGAATACAAAATAAAAAGATTGCCTTATATAACCTATTTTCAAAAACATGACATAAAATGAATATTTTAAGCAACTTACATCCTCATCATAATGAGAGCTAATAAGGGAAATCCAGCCATTACAAAGAATACGAATCCTTTGTAGAATGTTACTGTTAGGTGGTAGATGTTATTGAATAAGGTAGATGCACAAACTTGACATACGGTTTCTATCAGATATATATTAGAAAACAGCGCTCCTGAAATAAAAAATATTACGAGTTCTTAAAAGGGTTACAATTCACAAAATATGGAGTCTTTACAAACATATTTTCATATCAAGGTTGTTTTTCTTACATTATGAAATTGAGCCGAAATGATATATACAATAATACACCTGGAAAATAGTATCGCACTACCCTATTTTTCGCACAAACTAGAATGTAACAACATATAATATTTTTTATGGCCTCGAAAGTATCTAAACAAGGCCATTCTGTTATTGACAAGACCACAAGCAAGGTTAAAAAAACCGACAAATTTAATTAACTCCATTTTTGGCAAACAAGAGGATGTGTTGGGTATAAAAATGGACAATTTTTAACTCTGGATGCTTAAACAGAGAAAACACGATTCCCTTTGTTTGGAAAACAAAAATAATTGTCAGTGGTAACAATAAACACAACAAAATTTCGATACAGAGAAAAAAACACTTTAACACGAATCATCGATGCTAAACGTTCTTACATTTAATGGATCAAATGAGGAATGTGTCGTGGTGGTAGTGAAAGCAATTCCTTTTTGCAAAGCTTGAGATAAATGATAGAGATTCTGAACTATTGATATTCTCTCGCGTACCAATTGTGTCCTTGATATGCTCAATCGATATCTCTAGCTTTGTTCATCTTGAATTGCAATCTCTTTGTTTTCTTCGTGTACCACTCATCTCATACCTTGTCGCACCACTCATCTTGTTTATCTTGATGTACCATTTAACCATGTTTATCTGTATGTACCACACCCCTTGCTAATCTTGCCTTACCACTCAGCATGTTCATCTTGGTGTACTAACTTTGTTTCTCTTGATTTACCTCTCATTTTGTGTATCTTGACGTATCACCTACCTAGTTTATCTAAGTGCCCCATTCACCTTGTTTATTTTGTTATACCATTCGCCTTGTTGATCTCGTTGCATCACTAGCCTGGTCTATCTTGACTTACGACTTAACGTGTTTATCTTAGTGTACCACTTACCTTGTTTATCTGGATGTACAACTCTGGATAAGATGGCTTTAATTAACGGTATTGGTAGAATTTTCAAAATACCAGCTGCTGCAGCTACAAAATACAATACAGGTGTTACTAATGGAAAAAATAGTCAATTGGTGCTTTTTTATATCAAAGAAATAAAATACAATGTCGACAAATACTGTAGATTGCTTATTACCAAAACGGTAAAACTATTGACAAAAACACGCATATTCCATTTTCTCGATTACTACCTTTAATGTGATATGCAGTTTTCATTTTAACCAAATAAAGAAATGTTCGTTATTGTGTGTTTTATGTAATTCACATTTTGCCATTACGTCGTCAGATCTTTTAAGTACCGAACGTGACTTATTCCCGATTGTGACTGTTTTACGGAGTGTGAATTCGCATTGCTATAAGACGTGTCACGGTATTTTTCTATCCAAAATCCATGAATTTAGTTTTGATGTTATATTTGTTAATCTCATCGGATTTTGTCAAATGTCTTATCGTTTGTAGTTGTATATCTTATTTTTTTCTGTTCTATTCGTGTGTTTCGGTAAAGATAATTAATAACCCAGTTCATTTATAAGATTTTAGTTTGGTTCAACTAAATTTATACGATGTATTTGGTTTACAGTTTGATTTAGAAGAAATACCGACATATAGATATAAGAAGATGTGGTATGAGTGCCAATGAGAAAACTCTCCATCCAAGTCAAAATCTATAAAAGTAAACCATATTAGGTCAAAGTACGGTCTTCAACACGGAGCCTTGGCTCACACCGAACAGTAAGCTATAAAGGGCCCCAAAAATTACTAGTGTAAAACCATTCAAACGTTAAAACCAACGGTATAATCTATATAAAAAACGAGAAACACTTATGAACCACATCAACAAACGACAACTACTGAACATCAGATTCCTGACTTAGGACAGGTGCAAACAAATGCAGCGGGTTTAAACGTTTAAATGGTACCAAACCTTCACCCTTTTTCTGAAACAATAGTGTAACATCACAACATAGAAAGACACACTATAAAATATCAACTGAAATAGCTTAACTCAATCAAAGGACATATTAACACCAGTGAACATACACTGAACAAATAAATTTGACCTATGATACAATGTAAATACAAAATAAATAAACTAAGGGAAGAATAATAAAAGTAACATGTTATATCGGTATGAAATGTTAAACAGTTTAAGAAAAACAATATGCTCGAACAAAAATATCAGCCATTTGCAATTACTTTAAACACAGGTAAATGAAAATAATTTTGTTGTTTGGTATACGTGTACAGTTCCAATAGAGAAAGGAAATATTTTTACAAAATAAATAGTTTTGATGTTCTAGCTTGATAATACAATTAATTATCTAATTACTACCACAATTGTATATTAATAAGTATTGTAATTTTCATTGTTATTAATACATGTTATATCGGTATTACAAACCTAATCTTGAACTCTATCCTATTTTTTGGAAATTTATAGAAATTTATATGTGACGTCACATTGTGCGTCGATCTCTTCGGCTAACATATAATACGTTGTTCGGCTGTGCTGATTTAGGTTGTTTTACGTATTTGTTTTTATTCTGTAGTAAGTCACCACTTCGGTGTTAACATGTATATCTATTATATAGTCATTTTTATAAATTTACTGTTTGCAAAAGTATGAATTATTCTAAATACTAAGGATTTTCTTATCCCAGGCATATAACCTTAGCCGTATTTGGCACAACTTTTTGGAACTTTTGGTCCTCAATGCTCTTCAACTTTGTAATTTGTTTTGGTTTTCGAACTTTTTTTATCTGAGCATCACTGATGGGTCTTGTGAAGACGTAACACGCGTCTGGCGTATTAAATTATAAGCCTTGTACCTTTTGATAGCTATTATTTGTGTATGTGTCTGTCCTGTATGTTCTCCCATTTTTTTGTATTGTAGTCCTGTCATGTAATCTTGTCATTTTAATGTTATATTTAACATTGCCATAAAAGCGGGAGGTTTGGCTAGCCACAAAACCAGGTTCAACCTACCATTTTTTCTTAAAATGTCCTATACCAAGACAGGAAAATGGCCATTGTTATATTATAGTTCGTTTCTGTGTGTGTTGCATTTTAGTGTTGTGTTTCTGTTGTGTCTTTGTTCTCTTATATTCGATGTGTTTCCCTCAGTTTTAGTTTGTAACCCGGATTTGTTTTTTTTTTCTCAATCGATTTATGAGTTTCGAATAGCGGTATACTACTGTTGCTTTTATTTGAATCAGAAAGTTAAACTTTAAATACAAAACATCGGCAATTACCTCGGATCTTTTCCTCACTACTCGTGCAGAAAAAAACACGGTGACGAGTGTTACCCGCCCATATTGTGTTACCATTGTTCTGTATCTTCTTATATAAAAAAATTGGCATTACACAAGCCATCTTAAGACGACGATGTCTTAGACTTAATCTTTACTTTAATGGATTTCGAAAAAAATGCTGATCTTAATTTTTTATATTCTGATTGTTTTCTTTGGTAGTTTAAAGTTGTATATGCTTTATAAAGTAAATCAGTTTATATTTTACCTCCATACAACATCCAGTTATTTTTCGATAATCCAAATAATGTTAAACTTGCGATAGAGGACACAAAACCAATTGATACAATCAATTCGTCTGTAATATTTTTGAAGCATATCTGTAAAACTTTAAGAATTATTGTTCCGCCTACAAACACTACAATATCATTGCAACCACTAAACCAACCGATATATTCTGAAGACCAACAAAATGGTGAACTCAATGTATATATCATTCTTATAGAGCTGCTTGCAGACAGTGACATCATATTAATAAAGAATATTAACAAATACATCAAAACGTAATTTACACTGCGGGTTATATTTTCACTTCTGGTACACCAGGAAAATATTTCTCCGGGAGATATTGACATTTGTGTTTCTTCATTTTTTTTCCAAGTCTCATTTAAAGTGAATACCACTAAAATTACTAAGAAGAAAATAATCCCCCCTGAAATAGCGAAAGGATACATATAACCTGCAAAGTCTATCAGATATCCCGTACTTATATAAGAAAAGAAAATTCCAAATCCTAGTGATGCATCATATATAGCTAAAACAATCGTTCTTTCTTTTCCTTTTGATGTTCCGTCTGCTAACAGTGACACACTTGCAATGTGGAAAGTATTGTATGTACCAGAAAGTCCTTCAACTGCAAATCCAAATAAAAAGTAATACAAATTAAGATCAAAGTAAATAGCTACCGCCTTCATTGCAAAGGAAATTGCCATAACTGTTAAATTCCATAGCAAAATCTTTTTCCGTCCTATTCTATCTACCATAGGTCCAACGAAAATAATAAATGGAATAGCAATTCCGTATTCGGCTAGTGTAATATACCATACCCAGTCGGACGCTATGGCCTGTATGTCATCGTCGGAAGTGCCATTTACAGTACAACTCTGAGATACAATTTTCGAATGATTCTGATTTGAATTCCCCATCGAATTTTTTGCAGAGTCGTGACTTTTAACGTAAGCATAAATATATTGTGTCGTTGCGGAGCCGGAAATGGCCAAACCAAGAGTATTTATTATCACATATATCATAACTTTCCAGCGTGTACTTATCCATGTTGATTTTTGCTGTTGCCGAAGCTGTTGCTCATACAATAGCGGTTTGTGTTCCTCCATTTTCAGATATAACTTTCACTCAGACCATATTAAGATGCTATAGTGAAATAATATAGATGTGTTTGGTATCATTTCATATATACCCGTTATAGGTCAATTAAATCAACCTGTATAAAACAAATAAACAGATTGGTCAATGTTCGATTACTTATGCAAGAATTTTCATATCTTCTGAACTTGTGGTTTGTAAATATAATCATAGCAATAGTCAAAAGAGGAATAATAGTACAGCTAAGAATGAAATATAACGTAAGGAAAATAGTACATAACTAATGCGTACAAAAATTGTTTATGCATATAAATGAATATTACCGACAGGAATAAACTGAACATGAATAAATATCATTTATTCAAACACCCAGTTGGTTATGGCACATAGTGATCATCTACCAGAAGGCTCTATTAGGTCATAAAGACATATTTGTACATGATTCAACTAAAATATTACTTGTACAACGAAATCATTGGTGCACAATAAAAAACAATAATATTGAAACCTTGGCTATTTTGAAAAAGTATATTTTTTTTCCAATTTTTTGCTGAATGACTATTGTATGTCACGATGAACCTGCTTCACTTTACCAAAAATATCGCAAAGTACAACGGATCAACTCAGCCATCAATAACCAACTCCTCTGACAAAATAGACACAAAGTACAACGGATCAACTCAGCCATCAATAACCAACTCCTCTGACAAAATAGACACAAAGTACAACGGATCAACTCAGCCATCAATAACCAACTCCTCTGACGAAATAGACACAAAGTACAACGGATCAACTCAGCCATCAATAACCAACTCCTCTGACGAAATAGACACAAAGTACAACGGATCAACTCAGCCATCAATAACCAACTCCTCTGACAAAATAGACACAAAGTACAACGGATCAACTCATCCATCAATAACCAACTCCTCTGACGAAATAGACACAAAGTACAACGGATCAACTCAGCCATCAATAACCAACTCCTCTGACAAAATAGACACAAACTACAACGGATCAACTCAGCCATCAATAACAAACTCCTCTGACGAAATAGACATAAAGTACAACGGATCAACTCAGCCATCAATAACCAACTCCTCTGACAAAATAGACACAAAGTACAACGGATCAACTCAGCCATCAATAACCAACTCCTCTGACAAAATAGACACAAAGTACAACGGATCAACTCAGCAATCAATAACCAACTCCTCTGACGAAATAGACACAAAGTACAATGGATCAACTCAGCCATCAATAACCAACTCCTCTGACATAATAGACACAACTCCTCTGACAAAATAGACACAAAGTACAATGGATCAACTCAGCCATCAATAACCAACTCCTCTGACAAAATAGACACAAAGTACAACGGATCAACTCAGCCATCAATAACCAACTCCTCTGACAAAATAGACACAACTCCTCTGACAAAATAGACACAAAGTACAATGGATCAACTTAGCCATCAATAACCAACTCCTCTGACAAAATAGACACAAAGTACAACGGATCAACTCAGTCATCAATAACCAACTCTTCTGACGAAATAGACACAAAGTACAACGGATCAACTCAGCCAACAATAACCAACTCCTCTGACAAAATAGACACAAAGTACAACGGATCAACTCAGCCATCAATAACCAACTCCTCTGACAAAATAGACACAAACTACAACGGATCAACTCAGCCATCAATAACCAACTCCTCTGACGAAATAGACACAAAGTACAACGGATCAACTCAGCCATCAATAACCAACTCCTCTGACAAAATAGACACAAACTACAACGGATCAACTCAGCCATCAATAACCAACTCCTCTGACAAAAAAGACACAAAGTACAATCGATCAACTCAGCCATCAATAACCAACTCCTCTGACAAAAATGACACAAAGTACTATGGATCAACTCAGCCATCAATAACCAACTCCTCCGACAAAATAGACACAAAGTACAACGGATCAACTCATCCATCAATAACCAACTCCTCTGACAAAATAGTTACAAAGTACAACGGATCAACTCAGCCATCAATAACCAACTCCTCCGACAAAATAGAGACAAAGTACAACGGATCAACTCAGCCATCAATGACCAACTCCTCTGACAAAATAGACACAAAGTACAACGGATCAACTCAGCCATCAATAACCAACTCTTCTGACGAAATAGACACAAACTACAACGGATCAACTCAGCCATCAATAACCAACTCCTCTGACAAAATAGACACAAACTACAACGGATCAACTCAGCCATCAATAACCAACTCCTCTGACAAAATAGACACAAAGTACAACGGATCAACTCAGCCATCAATAACCAACTCCTCTGACAAAATAGACACAAACTACAACGGATCAACTCAGCCATCAATAACCAACTCCTCTGACAAAATAGACACAAACTACAACGGATCAACTCAGCCATCAATAACCAACTCCTCTGACAAAATAGACACAAAGTACAACGGATCAACTCAGCCATCAATAACCAACTCCTCTGACAAAATAGACACAAACTACAACGGATCAACTCAGCCATCAATAACCAACTCCTCTGACGAAATAGACACAAAGTACAACGGATCAACTCAGCCATCAATAACCAACTCCTCTGACAAAATAGACACAAACTACAACGGATCAACTCAGCCATCAATAACCAACTCCTCTGACAAAATAGACACAAAGTACAACGGATCAACTCAGCCATCAATAACCAACTCCTCTGACGAAATAGACACAAAGTACAACGGGTCAACTCAGCCATCAATAACCAACTCCTGTGACGAAATAGACACAAAGTACAACGGATCAACTCAGCCACCAATAACCAACTCCTCTGACGAAATAGACACAAAGTACAACGGATCACCTCATCCACATTAACAAACTCCACTAACAAAATAAACACAAAGTACAACGGATCAACTCAGCCATCAATAACCAACTCCTCTGACAAAATAGACACAAACTACAACGGATCAACTCAGCCATCAATAACCAACTCCTCTGACAAAAAAGACACAAAGTACAATCGATCAACTCAGCCATCAATAACCAACTCCTCTGACAAAAATGACACAAAGTACTACGGATCAACTCAGCCATCAATAACCAACTCCTCCGACAAAATAGACACAAAGTACAACGGATCAACTCATCCATCAATAACCAACTCCTCTGACAAAATAGTTACAAAGTACAGCGGATCAACTCAACCATCAATAACCAACTCCTCTGACAAAATAGACACAAAGTACTACGGATCAACTCAGCCATCAATAACCAACTCCTCCGACAAAATAGACACAAAGTACAACGGATCAACTCAGCCATCAATAACCAACTCCTCTGACAAAATAGACACAAAGTACAACGGATCAACTCAGCCATCAATGACCAACTCCTCTGACAAAATAGACACAAAGTACAACGGATCAACTCAGCCATCAATAACCAACTCCTCTGACAAAATAGACACAAACTACAACGGATCAACTCAGCCATCAATAACCAACTCCTCTGACAAAATAGACACAAACTACAACGGATCAACTCAGCCATCAATAACCAACTCCTCTGACAAAATAGACACAAAGTACAACGGATCAACTCAGCCATCAATAACCAACTCCTCTGACAAAATAGACACAAACTACAACGGATCAACTCAGCCATCAATAACCAACTCCTCTGACAAAATAGACACAAACTACAACGGATCAACTCAGCCATCAATAACCAACTTCTCTGACAAAATAGACACAAAGTACAATGGATCAACTCAGCCATCAATAACCAACTCCTCTGACATAATAGACACAACTCCTCTGACAAAATAGACACAAAGTACAATGCATCAACTCAGCCATCAATAACCAACTCCTCTGACAAAATAGACACAAAGTACAACGGATCAACTCAGCCATCAATAACCAACTCCTCTGACAAAATAGACACAACTCCTCTGACAAAATAGACACAAAGTACAATGGATCAACTTAGCCATCAATAACCAACTCCTCTGACAAAATAGACACAAAGTACAACGGATCAACTCAGCCATCAATAACCAACTCTTCTGACGAAATAGACACAAAGTACAACGGATCAACTCAGCCAACAATAACCAACTCCTCTGACAAAATAGACACAAAGTACAACGGATCAACTCAGCCATCAATTACCAACTCCTCTGACAAAATAGACACAAACTACAACAGATCAACTCAGCCATCAATAACCAACTCCTCTGACAAAATAGACACAAAGTACAACGGATCAACTCAGCCATCAATAACCAACTCCTCTGACGAAATAGACACAAAGTACAACGGATCAACTCAGCCATCAATAACCAACTCCTCTGACGAAATAGACACAAAGTACAACGGATCAACTCAGCCACCAATAACCAACTCCTCTGACAAAATAGACACAAAGTACAACGGATCACCTCATCCATCAATAACAAACTCCACTAACAAAATAAACACAAAGTACAACGGATCAACTCAGCCATCAATAACCAACTCCTCTGACAAAATAGACACAAACTACAACGGATCAACTCAGCCATCAATAACCAACTCCTCTGACAAAAAAGACACAAAGTACAATCGATCAACTCAGCCATCAATAACCAACTCCTCTGACAAAAATGACACAAAGTACTATGGATCAACTCAGCCATCAATAACCAACTCCTCCGACAAAATAGACACAAAGTACAACGGATCAACTCATCCATCAATAACCAACTCCTCTGACAAAATAGTTACAAAGTACAACGGATCAACTCAGCCATCAATAACCAACTCCTCCGACAAAATAGAGACAAAGTACAACGGATCAACTCAGCCATCAATGACCAACTCCTCTGACAAAATAGACACAAAGTACAACGGATCAACTCAGCCATCAATAACCAACTCTTCTGACGAAATAGACACAAACTACAACGGATCAACTCAGCCATCAATAACCAACTCCTCTGACAAAATAGACACAAACTACAACGGATCAACTCAGCCATCAATAACCAACTCCTCTGACAAAATAGACACAAAGTACAACGGATCAACTCAGCCATCAATAACCAACTCCTCTGACAAAATAGACACAAACTACAACGGATCAACTCAGCCATCAATAACCAACTCCTCTGACAAAATAGACACAAACTACAACGGATCAACTCAGCCATCAATAACCAACTCCTCTGACAAAATAGACATGCACATTAAAGACAAACAACACTCGGTCCATATGTACCGAAAAGGCACATGCAATAAATGTAATCTTCGAACAAATATTTTTATTTTTAAATAAATATAACAAAAAAAGATTTATATATGAATTCAAAACATTTAAGTCTATTACAAGGAGAGTTATTTTTGCCAATTATAAAATAATCTGAAAATCCGACTTTTTCATAAAGTTGTCAAGATGGCGTATCGGAATTTTGTATTTGCGGATTATCGATGTCTAACTCGATTGGATCTTTTGTCGAATTTGTCTTGCATGTTACAAATCTGAAATGACATAATTAAAATCGTTCAAATATTTCAACATACATGTGCATCTAGATGCTGTGGATTCATAATACCTCCATAATACATTATTATGTATGTTGTACACAAAGATGGTAACGCAACGTTCTCATAAGTACATAAAACTGATTTGTAAATAAGTATATTAATATAAAATTTTAACAACTAAAGAAAGAAGCGTTTGTTTTTTTTTTTTTATCTTTCTCAAGAACTTGTATCAAAGCTAACATTATTCATAACACATTCTATACAAATGTGTCGTTACTATGAACAAAAGGAGAAATGGGATAGGAGCCAAAACATGTCTAGAGGTCGACCATATTCTAAGGTCGACAAGAAACAAATGTCTATGCAAAATATGTCAAGCTCTAAATTTTCTCGAATGTAGAAAAGATGCGAATGCTTTTAATGATAAATCTAATATATTCGGTAAAAAACTCATCAGAGCTTATGTTTGTATGTTTCATGCTATGCCGAATCAAAATAAAATTGTCTATGACAAAAAAAATCAAGTCATAATTAAAGACATGAGACATGCACATATACTACTCATGACCCACTCACTGTTAATTTCCCATGTAATCAATCAAACATGCTATTTAAGTTCCTTTGACAGTGTCATTATTTTTAATCATAAGACTATTTTCTCAACTTAGAATGATTCTTAAAGTTAATTCCAGTATCTTTTTAACATCTTCGTTTACTGTGATTTGTGATGTCAACGCACAACTGTTTTTTTTTATATAAACTTACATCATCATAACAAGAGCTATGAAAGGAAATCCTGCCATTACAAAGAATACAAATCCTTTGTGTAATGTAACTGTATGATGATAGATGTTATTAAATATGGTAGATCCAAAAATTGTACAAATTGTATCTAACAGATATATATTTGAAAAAAGTGCACCTGAAAGTAGAAAATAAAGAATTGTATTAGTATTGTAACCTATTGACAGTAATGAAATGTAGGAAAACTGTGTTCTTCCAGCAAGAAAGTCTAAGCCAAGGAGGAATAAAGTAATCATTATTCAATCAATAGTAAAATTGACCTATTTTTGATATGACTATGGAATCAGCTGACTTGTAAATAATGCTTTACAGGAGATGTTAACTCTATCGACGCACCAAGGTTCACTTCTGATAGGGTTTATGTGGTACCAATTATTTTCACCCCATGTTTGTTTTTTATATTTAGTATTTCATTTGAAATGATGTATTAATACCATCTTCATACACTTGTTATAAAATGTAACTTAAAGATGAGGTAGAGATATTTTTACGTAACATTTGAAATTTACGAACTGTTTTAACATAAACAAAAAAAAACATTTGTTTGTCGTTTTTTTTTTTATATAAAATTTACAATGTGCATTGTCGCATTTGTTCTTATACTTTATGTTACCTTGTTTATCTGGATGCACAGCTCTGGATAAAATGGCTTTGATCAAAGGTATTGGAAGAATCTTTAGAATACCAACTGCTGCAGCTACAAACATGTAGAAAATAAGAAACCAGTTGAAATATATCAATGTTTAAAGTTTGACAAGACTACGTGTCGAAATAATGTATCGTACTCAAAGCAATTTTAGGATTTCTAACAAAATAATCGCATAATTTGTTTTACACTAATTTTCAATGTGCTAGTATACATTTTATACGGGAAGGACACAGTGTAAATATATTTTTAAAGATAAAATCTTAATGAAAAGACATTTTGTATTCCGTTTATGAAAGAAGGACTTCGTAACCAATGATCAAACAAATATTATACCTTTGATTTAAATAATCAAGAATTTTCTAATTATACCACAGACATTTACCCAATGGACTTGACATTCCATAAACCTAAAATGAACAACACAATTGTCCTTTTCTAGATTTTGATACTTCAGTTTTATAAGACTAACTCTATTACGACAAAAAGACGATCTTTCCTTCTTTTTTTTTTACTTAATTCCTTTGATCTGTTCTTACGGTTTGCATCTTTTCCAACTCGGTCGCTTTGTCCGTATCTGTAGTTATGTCTTTGAAATCTATGTATAATTTATTTTAACTGGTAAATCATTAAGTTATGGATGTTATTACCACAAATTACTAAAAATCTTTACCTTTTAAATCATTTAATGAATACAATGATTTCCTTTGACTGTAGAAATCTTACCTCAGACGGAATTTCACATGCAGATTTAGCTTATTTAAGCTTCTAGCCCCGGTTTTTGATGGGGTTCGTGTTGCTCAGTCTTTAGATTTCTGTGTTGTGTTTTGTGTACAGTTGTTTGTATTTTTGTAGGTTTTTTTTTTTTGCCCTGGCGTTATCAGTTTATTTTCGACTTGTGGTATCTTTCGCATCCGTTTATAAGCCGTAATTTAAGATACTTTTTTTTCTTTTGTACGCCGTAATTTAAGACACGTTATTTTTTTTTCTTGTAGTTAGAACTGTGAAATTGTCTGTAAGAGTACTAAAATTAATTTCATTTTTTAAAGATAAATATATAACTAAACACACATTGCTATTTGGTTATAAAAGCCTTATTATCTACGATTTTAACAGTATAATTTGAAAAATTACAGGAGGGTTGTTAATTCTTCAAACTTTTACAAGAATGGAATATTGAATAATGATTCACTATTAACAATCAGTATGGTTACATTTTTTTTTTTCAAAATAAGATAAAAAAAAAACAAACTTCCCTGCTACATTCTCATTACAATGCAAGCAATTACGTCACACTGGCCAAGTTCCCTAAAACCACGTTTCATTGCAATAGCTCCAATTACGTAAAACTATGTTGGTTTAGTGGAGTATCGCCAATTTATTGGATATCTCTTATTCACTAAACCTAATGTGGCGTATCACTTACATTCATATATCATCCAATCATTCGTAGACAATCCGAAGAGTATGTAACTCGCAACAGATGATAATAAACCGAATATTACAACCAGTTCATCAGTAATATTTTTGAAACATATCTGCAAAATTTTGAGAATAACTGTTCCACCTACAAACACTAAAATAGAACTACCAGCACTAAACCACCCGATGTGTTCCGAAGACCAACAAAATGGTGAACTCAAAGTAAATATCGTTGTTATAGATCCTGACGATGGCATATTATAAATTAAGAATATTATTAAATAAATTAAAATATAACTAACACCACGGCTTATGTTTTCTACATTTGTAAACAAGGAAAATATTTGTCCTAAAAACGCCGACACTTTTATTCGACTTTCCGTTTCATGATGCACCAGAGATTCGTCTAAAGTAATTGCTACTAAAATTGTAAAGAAGAAAAATATTCCACCTGAAATAGCAAATGGATAAATAAAACCTGTGAACTCTATTAAATATCCTGTCCCTATAAAAGAAACGAAAGCTCCTAATCCTATTAGCGCATCATATATCACCATAACAATAGTTCTATCTTTTCCTTTCGATGTTGTATCCGCTAGTAATGCACAACATGCTATACTGAATATGGAAAATGTTCCAGAAAGTCCTTCAATTGCGAATCCAACTAAAAAGTAATACAAGTTCAGTTTCAAATAAATAGTAAGTGTTTTAACTGCAAACGAAAGAGTCATAAGTGATAAATTCCATAGTAAAACTGGTTTACGACCTATTCTATCTACCAAAGGTCCAATGAAAACAATAAATGGAATTGCAATTCCGTATTCGGCTAGTGTAATATACCATGACCAGTCGGCCGATATCGCTTGTATTTTATAGTCGGAAGTACCATTTGCACTACAACTCTCATTTTTTGAAAAACTGTTATTTGAGTTCGTTGCCGAGTTATTTGCAAAGTCGTGACTTTTTACATATTCATAAATATATTGTGTTTGTGCTGAGCCTGCAATGAGTAAAGCAATCGTATTGATCATCGCATATATCATCACTTTCACACGTGTGCTTATCCATTTTGGCTTCAGCTGTTGTTCGATCTGTTGCGCTTTCAGTAGAGGTTCGTGCTCATTTCCGCGGAACTCCATTAAGATAAACTTTCCTTTGTAAAATATAGACCTAGATTATACACATATGTCCGGTCAATGAATGTTTACCTGTATCGACGGTATTTAAAATCCTATATTTAATAATTAATAGAACTGGTCAATGCATAGGTCACATTTTCGAACATATTCGGAATTACATGTCCTACATTTTAAACTTGTTATATGATCAGTATTAAAGCATATCATCTGTTTAAAAAAAAATCAATATGGACGTTACACCTGGAATGTTTAAAGATAGTTGTGAACGGAGCCATGAATAAATGTGTATACTGATAATTACATGTACACATACTTATTATATACTACTACATGTAGAGCATTATTTTTATACTTGTAAATAGATTGTAAATCAGAAAATCGTATACCAGCGTCTTGTTACTCTAACTAGGTTAATAAATATCAATTATAATGTCCCTCGAGATAAAAAAAATAAACGTTAACATGATACTACGATGAAAATAAACACATTTTGGTGAGAATTGCACAAATGAACGTCCCTACTCACGCCCTATTAATATTGGACCTTTTCAACAATTGTCTACACCTACAGTTGACAACGACTACGACAGGTAAGATGTTAGGGGTCGTCTCAAAGTAATAATGGTTGTATATAATGGTTACAAGTAACTGAGTTGAAAGGAATTGGTTTTTTTTTTGCCTATATGTATTTACCACAACGATATTTTTCTTTTTTTGAATTAAGTATATAAGAGGGTCTGGATGGGGTTTACAGAATAGACATAAATGGATCAATACTACAGAATCATGGGCAAAAAAATAAGGAGTGGGGAACAATGGGGTGCTAAATTATAAAGAATAGAGAATAATGGGCAAAATAATTAAGAATAGAGAAAAATGGCTTAAAAAGTAAGAGAATACAGAATTGAGGGATCCCCATCCAGACCCTCAGGAATGAATAAAAGGGAGATCTTCTATATTCTATTCAATATTTTTAGAAGATGAGATTCAAGCTACTTTAAACTAGCAAAAGGAAAAAAATAAGTAGTACATATTTAAACAGACAATTGTTTTATGTCTATTGACAAGGGCGGCATATGTCTATACAAAGTCCGTTATGTTTGACCTCAGATTCCTTCGTAATGTACTTTATACTTAGTAGTTTTTTTTTTTATTTCACTCATGTTCAATTTAAATCTGTATTCAGTGACAATTTGTAAATAATATTTAGATAAAGCGAATTTTTTATTTCCTATTTTGGTTATATTTTGTTTTTAATTCCAATAGCACAAAACAGACTTTGACTATAGTGAGACAAGTCAAGCACGGGCAATGGACACGGCACGAATAAAGCATAAAATCACACAATGCAACACATAAAACAGACATTCAGAGTTACCGCGTGATCTGCAATACTGTCTGGTAATCATTACCAAGTAGCGAGATCTGATCGGCCCCGATAAAAAAAGAGATCAAATCCAATGCCGCAGCATAATATAATTGTAAAATAAAAAATTCTTCCAAGAAAAGAATATACCATTGACCAACATATTCCGGGGTTGGAACAGGCGCATAAAATATGCGGCGGTGGTTTTACTTATATAATTGGATCCAAAACCTCCCTCTATGTTTGGTCAGAGGTGAAATAAAAAAAGACCATTGGGACGCATAGTAAAACTAGATAAGAGTAGAAAACTGAAGCGTAGATCAACAAAAGGGAAAATCAAGAAACAAAAACTAATCCGGAGACAAGAGAAAAAGGGCAATTTTCTCATAGAAAACCAAAGATATATGAGAAAAAAACTGACTCCGTAAACTGGGATGAACGCAAGTGCTCCAACAGGGTAAGCAGTTCTAGCTTCTGACAAGACACTAGACGTGTTCCTCGTAAAGGTTATGCCCGGTAACGAAGAAAATGTATCAATTACAAAAGGACAACTTTTAACAGTCAATTATATATATTCAATATGTACAACAGGTATAGTGAAGATCTGTTGAGAAACGCAACTTCTACGATGTCCACAAGTGCGTTACGGACAGACAGATAGTCCCGTTACAATGTCCTATCCGTAACTTAATTACTATGGGGATGATAAAATGTAGTCATAAAATAACATTCCAAAAACGAGTTAACGGCTATTGGCAAACGGTGCGGTCTTTCATGGAAAACTCGTACAACTAAAAATTAATAATCATATTACCGAAGAATCAATGGATTCGGATGTGAATAGATTGCCAATTTTTTTTTTTTGATTTATAGAATTGAACGAAAATTGATTTATAAATAAATGTTTACATATAATAACTAAATAAGTATTACGGTATATGAAAGAAAGGGAAAAAACACAGAAAATCCACAATAGCTATATTTGCTCAATATCCGTTCTTTTTCAAAATAATACCATTCAAATCGAATATGTACGTATATGTTACATGCATGTTATAGAGGCTTGTATTGGGTATATTGGGATACGGGATATTTGCCATTTTAATTTTAGGAATATGGGATATTTGTCCTAAAAATAAATGGGATATGGGATATTGATACATTTTTAGGGATATTGAATATTGGACATGAAAAAAAAAGTGTGGAATTCAAAAGTTAAGTACAGAAATAGTTACATCTCACTTGATAAAATTGCCAAAAATAGGCCGTTAGTTTTCTCAGCAATCGAATTGTTTCATATTTTTCATGTCGGGGCCTTTTATAGCCGACTATACGGTATGGTTTTTTCTCATTGTTGAAGGCCGTACGGTTGCCTATAATTGCTTACATCCACTTTATTTGAACTTATACCTCATCTCCTTATTTTTTTAAGGGTAAAAATGATAAGCATGTTAAGATTTATCTGCCACGTAATTTTTCAAACCAATTGGACAACCCTTTTTGCAGTTATTGTATCTGGAATTATTAATTTTACGAAATATCTCGGTTTTTTTTGGGTTTTTTTTGGTTATTATTATCTTAAGTGCTGATAAAGAGAAATTTTGAACAGCAAAAATGACCAGGAAGTTGAGATCTACAACTAAGTTAACTGACCAAAATTGTAAATTTATCCCTTATAGGAGTTATTGGCTTGAAAAGCAATTTTTTTTTAATTAAATTTTCAAGTTTTTTTTAAGAAACTATAATAGATGAAGGGAAACTTTAAGTTACAAAAATGTTCAACAAAATTAGATCTATGAATAAGTTAACATGACCAAACTGGTCAACTGATCCTTTATAGGAGTTCTTGCCCTTGAAAGATTACTTACCAAAAGTTTAAATCTTTTGGAGAAACTATGTTGGACATGGATAAACATTAAATGGCAAAGATCTTTAGTAAAATAGGACCTACAAATAAGTTATCATGACCGAAATTGCCAATCGAGCTCTCAAAGGAGTTATTGCCCTTGTTTGACATATCCTTGCCATTTTATTTTTCAAATATAGGAGCTAGATTAAAAGCTTAATTTGGGAAAATGATCAACATGATGACAAGTATCCACCCTGAAAATTTTCGAAAAATCTAACCACATTTTTTTGAGTTATTGCCCCTGAAATGTCTATTTTTATAATTTTTAGCAGTTGTTGGCTGTTATCATGAAAACTATATGAGCTAGATTAAAAGTGTAAGTAAAAAAAATAATAATCAGCATAACAAGACCTATTTACTATGATATTTTTGGCAACAAGTTTTAGAAGTATTCTCCCTGAAATGTTGATTTTTTACTGTTTTTGAAGTTTTGGCTTTTGATTTCTAAAAACCTATAAGAGCTAGGTTAAACATGTAAATTGCAAAAATGATCAGCAACAGAAAGAGTAACTAAATTATGTGCATATCAAAGTCCTCATTAGCAAACTGGCGATTTTTTTTTTCATCAGGTGAGTGATAAAGACAAAGTTGTGCCTCTTGTTTATATGTCAAATAAATAATTAACTTTTCTCTGTGAAAAAGCCCACATCCTTACTACAACGCATACAACATGTATTTACGAAAGTTGTATACAAAAATGGGTTTGTGTGAATTAATGATTTTTTTGGATATTTCAAAATAGTTTTAGGGATACGGGATATTTGTAAAAAATATTTATTGGGATATTAGGGGTAAACATTATAGGGATATGGGATATTGGGACAAAAACTTAATGGGATATGGGATATTGATATCCCCCCTAAACAAGCCTCGTTATACCTGAATGATTTTTACATTGGATGATCGTAAGGGCGTTCCGTAGTATTGTTGCCATAGACATTTCTACCCACGTGACTTTCGTTTTTGACTGATAACCGAACGCAAAATAACATTCCTTATCGCTTGTTATATATCAATTTCATCAATAAATATTAATGTAAATAATTTTTAAGAACATAGATAAATGATATGAAAATGTTTTGTCGTGAGAAATATATATATCAAATAATAACAAATCAAGAATACCGAAAATTTGTGTTAACGCATGCGGAAGAATATCTCAAGAACGTTTTGCGGGAAAATACGAATGCCTACTCAAATCCAATCTATTAGAAAAATCGAATCGTTACAGAAGAGTGTCCACCATGCACTTGTCTTGCACTATTATTAGAATAGTAGAATAGAATGATATACAAATGGACGAAAATTATATATACATGTAACTGTTATATACAAATATTAATATAATATATAACAACAAACCAGAGTATACTGATTTGTATCACTACGATATAATAGTTATTACGTTGAGGTTGAATTCCCTGTCATTTTATTCATCATCCACGCACGAACTTGTCTCAGAAAAAAATATATCTATGTACCTTAACCTCACTTTAAGGTATAAATATGTGATTTTTTTTCTGAGACAAGTGCTTGTGACCATCCACAAGAACTTGCGGTCATCCGATGTTCAGTACTTCAGTACTTTGATTATCTTTGATACGACCCTACTATTTTTCCTGTAAACTGTAGGTGTCAATAATCGGTGTCGAGAGTTGTTGAAAAGGTCTAATACACGCTATCGGTATGGCAGATACAATAGGATCTATGTTCCCTTTTGCTATTAAAAGCATTGTATTTGCTATCGTGGAAAACAGATTCATGTCTGCGTTTTTGATTGCCATTGCCATACAATTGATTTTACAATAGATCTATGTTACCTATTGCATTTTGTAATAGGGTGTTTAATTCAAATGTCAACGTTCCAGATGTTGTTAATATTATATTCTACGTGAACTCGCATAAACTTGAAAAGAAGTCAAAGTTTTATTTCAACTTCTGTTCTTGGTTTGCTTAAGTTCTCCGTTTGCTTCCCGAGTGATATTTACACAAACCTTTTCAATACACA